GATCCTCAACAGAATTTGTTCATACATGTCAAATAGTCTGGTGATTTTTTCAAAAGAATTTCAAGCTATTACTTTCTTTTGTCAGGGTTTGATTCATATATGTCTTTCCTGAAAAAATTGAATTCCTTTTGACCAAGTAGACTATGTTTTTGTTAACGGAAAAAGTGTCTATTCTTGTCCAGTCGAAACCAAGGTCAGCTACTAATTAATTAGCAGTAAACATTTGATGGACAGCGTACCTGGGGGTAGCTTATCCGAGGGGTTATTGTGGGAATAACCTAGAGAGAAGTCAGAGCAAACAAGTAAGAGAGAGAGAGTCAGATATATTAATGAAATCTCATCTGGGATCCCTTACAAGAGGAATAAAGGGCGCAATTTATAGCAGCCATAAATGCGATGAGAGTACACGTGTCAGTAATCTAACGGCCGAGGGGTCACCTCAATCGGAGTGGCACTGGCACTCGCATGTGCACCGCATTAAATGCGGTGGGTGGATGTGACGCTGCATTAAATGCGGTGGTTGCTTGTCTCCAAAGGGAATTTTCGATGATTGAGCTGTTTAGCCGAAGGCTCTCCTGTGACCGAAGGCTTGACCAGCCGAGGGCTCGGTGTGTAACACCGTCCCCAAACATATTTACTTTTATGTAAATAATGTATTGAACCTTATTAAAGGATTAATGAATTTACGAAGTTGTAAATTTTTATTAATTCTTTCGCGTGAATAGTAAATTGCACGTGGGGCCCACACCGGGAGCGGGGGCCGCCCGATATTCCCAAGGTCACATAAATTATTCTTATGGGTTGAAATAATATTTATATGGTGGTGGATATTTTATTTGGGTCATGGAAAGGCCCAGAGTTGACCGATTGGTCAAAAGAAGCCCAATTACCGGTACCGACAAATTAACAGATAACAGCTCAGAAATGAATTTCGGAGACTTCTAAATTAATGTTTTGGAACATATATTATTTCAAAGGGGCATTGTGGTTGGGAACACTTAATATATTTTATTTTACCCGATAAAATAAATTATGATTAAAACAGTCCGAAAAATACAACTTTCGGGACCGATTGTACACACCGGGACACAAGGGGGATGGCCTCCCACATGAGTGGGGGCCACCCCACGTTTTTGTGTGCTCTAATTAACCAAGAGGATCTGGATAGACAAGAGAGGGAGTTGAGGAGATAGTTTTGGCATCTAAAGTACCTAGGAGGACCCCCCCCCACCCTCATTTATTTGCCAATTAAGACAAAATGAACCATCCTCACTCACCCCAATCATCCACCACGCCCAAGCACCCCATTTGAGAGGAAAAACTCTGCAAATATTCATCTTCCATAGCTGGATACGAGCTCAGGGAAGGAAGGTCCAAAAGAGGAAGATTAAAGAGAGAAAAAGTTGGGAAAAGTGTGAATAATTAAGGTAATGATCTTATTATAACTTTCCCTCTATTTTTCCTTTACAATATGGGATATATATCACATGAAGGACCCTTATTATGGTTCCACATATTATAAGTATGGATTTGGGGGTTGAAAGGTGGTTCTACGTCCAAGAACGGACTTAGAAGCCAAAACGACCGGTTCACCGGAAAATAACCTTTTTGAGGTTATTTGTATTAATATGGGTTTTATGATTATAAAACCTTGTTAGGGACTTGTGAAAGGTATTTCAAGTGATTTCACAAAGTTGGAAAAGTCGCCGGAGTTGTCGCCGGAGTTGACCAAAAGTCGCTGGAGTTTCACCGGAGTTCAACCAAGAAGGGTAGAACTTCATAACGCTAGTTCAAGGTGAGTGGACGGCTTAATATCTTATAACTTTTGGGTTAATTATAAGATTACCTAAATAAATGTTATATGAATTCATAATGATGTTTAAAAGATATTTAAACATGTGATTAGCCAATAGGGTTAAGTTTGTATGAAAGAAATAGATTGTTTATGCATAGAATATGATATGAAGAATTATATAAAATGCATATTTGCTTGAAGTGTATTAGAAGCACAAATGAATATTGTAACTTAATTATGCGATGATTAAGTTGATTTGTACAAGGTTTGAAATGGCGGTCAACGACCACGTTGACCGGTGGATAATGGATTAATTAATACCGGTCGATATTAATTAATTGTACATTTACATAATTGCATGGCTTTGCATGGAATGTGATACATAAGTTTTATGTATTGGATTAGTTATGAATGGCTAAATATGATATAGACCCTATCTAGTGTGATATGTGGTAAGTCATAGGTCGGGTGGAGTACCCAAGGATCGGGCGGTTATCCTCAAAACTCGGTTATATAGGGTGGAGTACCCAAGGATCGGGCGGTTATCCTCAAAACTCGGTTATATAGGGTGGAGTACCCAAGGATCGGGCGGTTATCCTCAAAACTCGGTTATATAGGGTGGAGTACCCAAGGATCGGGCGGTTATCCTCAAAACTCGGTTATATAGGGTGGAGTACCCAAGGATCGGGCGGTTATCCTCAAAACTCGGTTATATAGGGTGGAGTACCCAAGGATCGGGCGGTTATCCTCAAAACTCGGTTATAGGGTGGAGTACCCAAGGATCGGGCGTGTATCCTCAAAACTCATAGACTACATTTAATGATCTAGGACCGGACGGTGTCCTTATGATAATTTATTTGAACAAGGAGGAGTTCTATACACTCATAGGTATATGGGTGGGTTAGGATTTAAGTCAAGGATATTGGCTACTATTATTTTCCCAAATAAACAATGACCTACGGGTCGGGTATTTCCAAGTGTATGCATACTAATATGTATTTCAAACTTGGGGGAAGGACTATACGTATATGTATCATCCTATGTTTGGGTCCTATACTTGAAACGCTAGTTATTCTATATTTAGCCTGCTACTCGCTCGGTACTTGTACTGACCCCTTCGGGGGGCCCCACCATTCTCAGGTTGAAGCTAGGGCTTGCTACCTGCACCTTTCTACGGGTGACATCAAATCAAGGAAGACGTGGTTCGTGCTTCCTCATTTTATTTCAAATTACCAAACATTGCTCATGGATATTTTTATTTGTTATAAACTATTCTTTTGGGGCTTGCATGCCCATGTTATTTGCCGGTTGTGGCTTATGACTTACCGTTGAATATTTCCGCTATTCATTGGTTTAAATGTGATGTTGTTATGTATGTTTACTACTGAGTATGGATGGATTATTTTTCTCGAACGCCTTGTGTAATCAAGTGAGGTTGACTCGCGGGTGACATCACTTGATTTCACGGCGGTTGTACACGCACTTGGATTGCGGTCTGGGGCGTGACACGGTGTGGCCTAAGGCTTGGTATGGCCGAATGCTTTCCTGATGCCGAGGGCACGAAAGTGCTGAAGGCTCCTGAATTCTTCTATTTTCTCCCAGTAGCTTTGTACGCTCAAATCTGGCTGTCCTGTGAGTTTTGGAGTCTTCAACCATGTTGCCGAAGGCTACCCTGGGTGCACCTTGGGCTTCTTTGAGCTTGGGCCACTGTGTTTTGGGCCTCTTGTGCTTCTTAGGCCTGTTGGGCCTGTGCTAGAATAGTATGAGTCTGTGGGTCGGGGGTTCTCGGGCCATATACTCCATCAGAAGTCCCCTACTCCTTTTGCCGAAAGGTACTTGAGAGAAAAATGAGTAATTGTGGTGATTCTCTCGAAGGCATCCTCATTTTGTAGGCCGCTTTAATTGTCACTTGACTCTCCGCTGCTTGCCGAGGGCATCCCCTCAGTCCTCCACATGTCGAGGACTGAGGGCTTCCTGAGTGGAAGTGTTCACAAGTTTGCATCTCATGTTGGTGTGAAGGCGGTTTCATCACCCTTGGCATCTGTTGTGAAATGTTGGCAATTTGCTCTTTTCCCGAAAAGTGTATTGATCACGTGTACCCGAGGGGCTTCGTGGTTGATGTCACCTGAGGGTTGCATCGATATTTACATATGTTTGTTTTGTATGTGTACTTTTGTTTTATGTTGTTCTTGAGGGGTGTATCCCATCCCCCACTCCTTTAGGCTGAAGGCTATTCGGGCTGAAGGAGTTTTATTGTGTTGTAATAATTCGGGGGCATGCTCCAGCTGAGGGGTTCATAATTCGTGGTAGCCGAAGGAGTGTGTTGACTTCGTTCGAGGGTGTATAGCCCTGCCTTGTGCTGAAGGGCGATGGCCTAGGCCATCCCTGGAATATAGCCGTTGGAATGTGACCGTTGGAAGTGGGGTCCACGTGGCATGCTCTTGTTGGCCGAAGGCGGGCGGGTGCCACCCATTGGCTGAGGAGGCGTTTGGTGCCGATGGGCTTCTCAATGGGGGCCCAAAATATGACATTTTTTGACATTGTGACATTTTTTAATATCGTAACATTTTCTTGCATTTGGCAATGACATTGTACGAGTCATTCACATTGTCATCATTACAGTGTCATTATTTATAGCATTGACAATGTCACATTTTATGACATTGTGACATTTTCTCCTACATTATTTCCGCAATATCATTATCATTATCAAAATAAGATACGCGTATTTTAATAAAATATGTACTCAATAATTGTTTTCACCATTGTTAAATTAAATAAAATAATGATAGTTAAGTTTTACAATGGTAGGGGTCATTGGTACAAAAGTATTAGGCTTCGTAATACTGCATTCGCCATCCATTGCTAGCAGTCTATCATGTACAGCTTTGAACACAGACATGACGGCATGTCCTCATTTTCCTTGGCTTTGTCCTCCTATCCATCGCTCCTTCACATATTCTGCTCCACAACATAAGCAAAAAGAGCTCTCTGGAAATTGAAAAGTCAAACAAAAATAAAAAGCTACGGTACGAAGACTTGTCATAGCAGCCTAACAGGAATGTTATTAGGTACATAAGAATGATAAAAGAGGAAAACGAAAGCAGCAGAAGAAGAACTGAAAGGAAAGAGGAAGAAGCGAAAGATTTCTCACCAGCCTTGTTTTAATCATATTCAAGTCTTTTTTCCCTTATTTAAGAACGGAGGAAGTACTAAATAAGTCATTTTTTAAAATAAAATACATGTAGTATTTAATTTACATCTGTTTTGAACTTTGTCCCTAATTTACATATATTTTGAACTATTTCTTTAAAAAGTAACAATGTGAGTACATAAAAGAAAATGAAAAGGAAAAAAACAAAGTGTCATCACAAGCTATAGGCTAGAGCAGCACTTAAGAAGAAGACATGATATCGAAAAGACAATATGGCTGCAGCCGATTTTACAACAGAGTCGCGGGCAGGGATGGGACTGGAATTTGCAGCCGCCGGCGTGGCAATATTAGGAACTGGGCAGAAGGTAATAAGATAGTTGTTATTAGGCCCTGAAGGGCAAGTGAATGTACTGGTTTTATCATCATAGGCATAGCTATAAGCTTGAGGGCACATCGCCTTGAAATATGAAGCGTATCCCGACGCCTGGCAGGTCGCCGCCGTCGCATAAGCCCCCGAGCAACAGAACTGCGGTTGATTGAATGCCACGCACGCGCTCTTGCAGCCCACCGTCGCGCCGGAGGCGTCCTTCAAGGCCAACTCCGGCTGGCAACCTGCGTTCACGTTTCCCGGGCAGGCAACCGGCGTGCATGTGGCGGAGGCGGCGATGCCCACCGGCTCCACGGTGACCGGGAGGTTGAACCCGTCGACGAGGCTGATGTCGAAAAAGTCTTGCCCGTTGTACCCGTCGAATGTGAACTCGACTAGACTGGCCGGAGGGATGGCGCCGGCTCCGTTGCAGGTGACTGCGCCGGAGGCGCAGTCGGCGGTTTGGCAAGCGAATGAGCCCGTGGGACCGGTGGCGCATGAAGTCCTGGCCCAGAAGCGACCAGACCAATGGGGAGGAATCTGAATAGGTGCCGACGATGCACCTGCTGCTAATTCAAAACCGGTATTGGGTAACGGTGGAATGCCGGCGCCGGTTAGGGTCCCGGGCCATATGGTGTAGGGGCAATTGTTTTTTATTGTGACCATTGCCGGCTGAACACCTGAAATCATATACGTACGGAGTTAATATTTACATGATCAAATTAAAACCCCAACGATTAATAATAGAAACAACAACAACAATATTAATACTAGTGTTGTAGTACTATGTTTGATTTTTACTAATTAGTGTAGTACTTCGTACTAATTCTAAAAGCAAAAGTGCTTGCGATTAGTGATTAGAGGGTAAGTTACGATTAGTGATTAGAGGGTAAGTTATTTATAGTAACTTATATTTGATACTCTAGGATACCCGTACCGCACGTTCCTGGGCCATATCTGCAATTTTTAAAAGTTTCCATTTTTTTTTTGTAATTTTTTGAAAGTTTTCGATACTCGTATCCTGACGGATACCCGTATCAACTTTTTTAAAAAAAATCCCAAAATTTACTTAATAAAATTCTAAACAAAAATGAAAATCTAAAACTACATTTTACTTGGTAATCAAATAATGGGCCTATATGGCTATATCCGAATTAAGTCAAAACTCATACTCCGAATTGGATACTTGCACTTTTAATTTCAAGATTGTAGTTGTTTGACTTATTTCTCATTTTAAATTAATGACTTATTGACTATATTTATATTTTGAGATGACTTGTGTATATGAGAAATATTATGAATTTATTACTAAATATCTTGAAAAAGGAAAATACTTCAATGCAATGAATGTGTAGACCCCTATAACTATATATATATATATATATTCAAAAAAAATCTATTTTTAATATTTATAAATAGACCCCTATAACTTTTAATATTTGTAAATACACCCCCATAACTTTTAATATTTATAAATATGGCCCCGTATCCGTATCCTACTTTTTTTGGTTTTGACGTATCCCCGTACCCGTTTCCGCGTACCGGTATCGGTGCTACATAGACTGTAGTAACTAATAGTCGCATTTTTGTAAATAAATATCATTTTAGTAATAATTTTGTTTTTAAAAAACTCATAGTAATAATAACAAGAAGAAAAGCAGCACCATGTTTAATATAAGGTTATTTCTAGTCCCATAACTTAGAGTATGTTTGTGCATATTATTATTGATTACATAATGCTACTTAATTGGAGATGTAATCATGTCCTATGATGAATAGATTATCAAGGATTTCAGCCCAATTCACTGGTTGTGAGGTTACTGTGCCTAGTAGGAGTAGGGATGGACCGGTTCCGGTCGGCCCGGGAACCGGCCTGACCCGCCACTTTGCGGGCCCGGACCGGCCCAATGAACCGAGCCCGATTCCAGGATCGGACCGGGGGGTTGGGCGGGGGCGGTTCCAGGCTACACTTCCTTTGGTGTCGGGCCCGGTTCGGGCATTTTTTTCAATTTTTTTTGTTTTCCCGGGTTGAGCTAGGTGTTTTAGGGGAGTTTGGAGGTGGGGTGGGGGGTGGGGGGGGCTTCCCCCAAAATAATAGGACCAGTTTGGACCGGCCCGGAATCGGTCCATCCTTAAGTGGGAGGTCACGAGTTCGAAACTCGCGAGACACATTAGGTTTCAAAACTCAATGAAGTGAGTTTCAGCCTTAATTTATCATTAATAAATTTTCTGCCTGGATGTATCACTTTTCGGCATAAAATCGCAGGTAAATAAAAGGTTGTTTGGTGACATTATTGTCCAAAATATTACGTAGTAGAATATTAGATCTTAGTACGTAGAAAGATTTTTAATGTAAACAAATTTGTTAGTTATGTGATATTCGATGCAATTAATTAAGGCGAGTTACACTAAACTAATTTTCTTTAAAACTTAAAAAAAATATAAATAATAATGAGCGAGAATAATTTTTTTGAAAGTAAAAATAAATAATAATGACCGGAAATAATGAATAAATTTGATGATTGTAGTTGCCATTATTGTTGCTAAATTCAAGGGTACCGTCAAAGTATCATACATTTATTCATGTGGACTAATCAATTAATTAATGTTTATATAAGTGCATAAGTCTATAAGTATGTATTTTATAAGTCTATAATTAAAAATTACAAGATTCAATTTGTTGCATTATGAACGCCCTTTTCAGAAAAATATGTTATACGTACTTAGGAAAAGTTCTCGGAATGAGCGTAACAATGTTTGAAAACTTCAAAATGGAACTGCTATATTTTTATTCTCAAAATAAGGGTAATTACTGTTAAACTTGGAAAATATTGTCATGTTTACTGACTCATACGACTCTGTAGCTACTACGTGAATATGCATACGTAGCATTTTTAGGGTTGGTTTGCAACTGCTTTAAAAAAAACACTTCTCAGCTTTTGACTTTTAAAAAGCACTTATTTTCCCAAACACTACAACTTTTATTTTTGTCGGCTTCCGCTTCAAAAGTGCTTTTACTTTTTCTATTACACAAAAAGCACTTATTTTACCAAACACTACCCACTTTTACTTTTCAAAATCACTTTTTTCTCAAACACTATCAACTTTTATTTAATCACTTCTCCCCATTTCATTTAAAAAGCATTTTTTTAAAAGCAGAAGCTGTTGCAAACAGACCCTTAATCATCTCATTACGTTACAAAAAAGCATATATTTTTTAAGATTAGTGATTACTTTTTGTGGAACTAGTACATTTTATTAGTAGGTTTGATTAACTTTTGAAAGGTCATCTTAACCGGGCGGAGCCATGGCACTGACTCGAACTAAACCGGTACAAAGAATATTTTTGGGGAAAAAATTACACAAAGTTTTTCACACTAAAAATACAAACATTTATTAAATTTGGTCTGGGTCGGGAACAGGGTTGGCCCCCTAGCTACGTCCTTGCATATTACTCCTACTATCTCATTTTAATTGTTTTACTTTTTTTGTTTTCCAAAACAAGTGTCACGTTTCTTCTGTTGGAAAGATATATATGATCTACAACATTTCATCTTATCTCAGATCTCAATCATAGTTTTTACTTTTTCAATCATTTTATTAATAATTGTGTCGAACCTAAGTGAACACATAAAATGGACAGAAGTAAATATCATATATGAATATGTATGAATAATACTTCATTATGAGCCTGTTTAATAGCATGAAAATCGGCTGTTTTGGTTTATTCTGTTGAAGTAGATGAAGTTCTGGTTGAAGTGGCTGCATTGGTTGATTCTGCTGATTTAAGAAAAAATTATTTTTAAAATATTTTTATTAATAAAATAATGAAAAAATTATATGTATAATAGCTAAAATTGTCATCTACAGTAACTTCAGCCAAAAAATCCAGAAAAGTAACTTCAACATTACTTTTTATGCTTATTACAGAATTCAGAGCGCGAAAGCAAAATTTACGTATTTGGTGAAAAGTTAGCTGATAAGCGTGAGAACTCGAAAAGAATGTTGCCAAACGACCTCTATATATTTTGTAAGCATAAAAAATAATCGATCTGCATGAGTCATGTACGAGTCATGCTCATGATCAAGTGATATACTTATTTGGTGTTGGAATACTCATTCAGACTAGGCATGGACCGGGACCGGTTCGACCAGCCCAACGCCAGGCCCGAACCGGTACTATTTAGTACCGGTCAGACCCGCCGACCAGGGATTTACAGGCGGGCTACCGGTGCTAGATGGGTTGGACTCGATGTTTTGGCGGGGTTCGGGGGTGGGGGTAGGAATAAATTAGAAAAGCTAAAAAAATTAAATGAGGCCGACCCGGACCGGTCCTGGTAAAATCCCGGGCCGATACATACCAGCCCTTTGGCCCCAAAATTTGTCCTGGTTTTGACCGGCCCGAGCCATATCCATGCCTAATTCAGACCTTAATTAATTAGGAATGAATCTGCTTACAAATGATACTACGTTAAAAATGATACTACAATAATGAAAACTTCAAATGTTTGACACTCAAGTAATCAAAAATGTCTATAAACAAACATTGTATGCAACTAGTATTATACCCCACTATAACAAAGTATAGTTTTTGCAAAATATTGCAATAGATGCAAAAAAATGTCGCAAAATATGTCAAATGTGCTATTTTAGTATGTTGCATGCGACTGTTGTTACAATAGATGTTATATTGTTATAATTTCTACGATGCTACAAAATGAATGTTACAATAGACACATTTTGTACTAGTGTCCGTGCGATGTATGGGAGAATGAATTTTGCAAAATGCAAATTAAGGAGAAGTATATTAATATAAACTTTTTGCCACACAAATGAAACATGCATACCTCGTCATATAATTTGTGGATGAAAATTCTACTCCGTATAATTTACAAAAATTGTGAATGATATATACAATTCCGGAACTCCTTATACACAACTGGTTAGAATATTTTGAAGAAAATTCACAATTGTTGTGGCATTGAGTAGGAATTAAAACAAAATCAATGTTTAAATTAAAGGAGCCTTTACGAACGTAACACAGAAGGAAAATCCCGGATGTAATGTAAAAATGATGGGAGGAGATATTAATTACCACAAAGTGATGTGCCTGCAAAGAACAGAAAGAGCAGCAATGGAGCATCCATGGAAAGTAATCAAGATAATCCACAATAACTATGACTAATTATCGCACAAATTCTATATTGTTCAGAAACTTCTGATTCTAAGAATTGGAAGTGGAAACAGCCTTATTTAAGAACACATGTATGCAATTGGTTATTCTGAAGCTTGGAAGAAAGCTAAATGATAGATGGAAGAATCTTAATTTGGAAGTATCTTTAATCTCCGAACTGTACTACAGGAATATCTTCCAATTGAGTAATTCTTTCCATTTTTTTGATGTTAATTCTTTCCATTTATAATATTTTTTCTCAAAAAATCGAATGAACTTCTTATTTTTCTCAACATTTCGGAATCAATTGTTGGCGTCCAACATGATTTGGTCTTATCTAAATGTAGTTTGTTTATGTTTGACTTGGTATGA